CGGAGACAATGCTACTCAAATGAACCAAGTACTGTTTTAATAGTGAACATTTTTTGTTCGTGTACAGTTATTCTAACGAGCTGACATGTAATCAATAGGGTTTTCAAAGGCTTTGCCTATTATCCTTACCAAATAAACTGAAATTAATTTTACAGGATAAAAAACACCCTCAAAAAATAGAAACAGAAAAATGCGGGCAGGACTGGCCTGCATGTGGCGGTATAGAATGGATTATAGTCGGGCATCGTTAGGACCTAAATAAATGTCAGCTGTGTATGGGACTGTATAACGGATTTCATGAAGGGTTAAGTAGGCTGGTCGGTCAGGACTTGCCTGTATGTGGCCTTAAATAAGGCAAATAGTGGCGAAATTGAAAACCAGTCTCGAGGCGATAGGAACCCATATGCGGTCGGTTACATTCATCCGAATCCATCCGAGGATGGGTCAAGGGAGATATGACCAGACTACTAGTATATGACAATGCAGAAGGTTTCGCCAAGAGCGTCGATGGAGCGCATTCTGTGAGGGCACGATGCATGAACTGAAAAATTGGAAAAATTAACATTTCTGGTGGGGGATCTTAGGAAGCGAGACAATTCACCAAGGAAGGAAATGTGAACAGATACGGAAATTTAATGGCTGCATATTAAATTCCCGGTGGCCCTTTCTCAGTGTCATAGAAAAATCTGTCTGGGAAGGATGAGGAAAATAAAAGTTTAATCGAGTCAGTATTCAGATAAAGGTTGACAGGTGTCACAAGACCGAGCTTTGAGTAATGCATGCTGAGTAGCAATTAGTAGGTTATTCACTGCACGATCAAAAGCCTTAATGAAATCAAAATATACTGTGTAAAGTGCAAAACCATTGTCCCTACGTTTGAGAACATAGTCAAAGAAAGAAAGTCGACAGGTGTCATAAGACCGAGCTTTGAGTAATCCATGCTGAGTAGCACTCAGTAGGTTATTCACTGTTAAGTGACACATCATGTTATTTTTGATCAATGTCTCCAAGATCTTCGAAACTGCAGGGAGGGTGTTTATTGGACGAAAGTCATCAAATGACGTAGATTTGCCGTGCCTAGGAATGGGTATAATGAGTGATTCCTTCCACAAGGTAGGATAGGTTCCACTTTCAAAAGCAAGATTAAATATCTTGCATAAGAGGGATGGGAAAATCGTATTTGTATCGGCTTTTAAAATGCTTACTGGGACACCATCAGGGCCTGGACTATAAGATTGACGAAAACGCCGAATCGCAACAGTCACATCCCACAGAGTGAAAGTTATAGTTTCTAGAACTGTCCCGGTCAATGCATGGATGGTCGAAAGCGGGGTGGTCGAGTCTTCAATAAACGTTTTGAACAGGAAATCATTGAAGCTATCAGCGGTTAACTGGGCATCAACTATGGGATTTCCGAGAGCGTCTCGGACGATGGAATGTTGCGTTTGTCTGTGAGTCCGTATTTTTCTAGAGAAAAGTTTCGAGACATTTAACGAATGGTTTTCACTAAACTGGACATCTTCGGCTAGCTGTTTTTCTTCAGACAATTTCTTAGCCCGCTCAAAAATGTCATAAATCAAGGGCAGGACAGAAACGTCGTTCTGAAGATGGAATCGACGAGAAAGTCTGCGCAATCTGCGACGAAAGGGTAAGGGTAGGAAAACCTCATCCCCAACGTTATTTATTCTCTTACGGGTGACGAAACGAGAAATAAGCGGATCCAAATTTTCGTACAGTTTTGCAGTGCAAACATTTACACCGGAACTAAAGAAGAAATCAGTCCAGTCGTTGGAGTTAAGGTGTGGTAATAATTCGGTCGAGCGAGTTGATCGGAAATCGCGGAAAAAGCTATACTTTGGAACAACGTTTTGTCAGCCTCGAATTCCAACGTTGAAACAACTATGTCATGGTCTGAGCCCCCGAGTGGTCCTAGGAATGACACTGACGATAGCATGCAGCCTGTACAGAAAATCAGGTCAATTATGCTTGATCCTCGGGTGGGAAATTCGGCAACCTGAGTCCACATTCCAACATCTACAGCCTCAAGAAAGTCTTCGAACCTTCTGGGGCCTGAAGGCGGAGACCAGCGAACTTCAGGGAGATTACAATCACCCGCAACCAAATGATACTTAAAGCTTGAGTCGGACGCAGCATGAAATGCGTTGAGAGTAAACGGTCACAATTGTCGTTGGCGTTGGGAGGGCGATTGATGCAGCCAAAGAGTAAGGAGAAATTATTTATTAGTAAAACTTGGAGCTAGCAGCTGCCTGTTACTGCGGAAAAATTCAGGAGGTCCAGCGGCAAAAATGTAAGTGTTTGCGTAATGTAGACGCAGCTGCGCCCACCACGGCTTACTTGATGATCATTTCGAAAGCAATTATAGCCTGGAAGAGAGAGTTTGGTGTCAGCTACGGAGAGTGACGCCCACGTTTCATTTACTAAAAAAATATCTGAACGGTGGACGAACACCAGATTCTGAAGCAAAGGCATCTGTTAAGCAAAAATCTGGCATTTAAAACAAGATTTTGAGGGGAAAGGCCGTTGTTTCTGAGGGGGGTGTGCTACGTCGTCCAGTGCTGGGCTGCCCACGGAGCAAACGGTCCGGATGTAATCATCTGGTTCTGCAAATATTTTGTAACATCAAAAAAGCCTGACGTGGACAAAACGGGGTATGACTTGGGGTAGGAAATGACGGGGAGGTAAACTGGTAACCATTGTTAGCTAACTTATTTTCAGCTGGAAATCCGTTGGTCAGATACTGCAACAGATCCCCGCCGGAACGAAACTGAGGATCGGATGAGTTATCTGATCCAGTATGGGCATTAGCATGAGGAATACATTGGTAACACGGCCGTGGAGGAAACAAGTTAGGGGGTGGGGCACGTATTGCTTCCATTGGAGCAAGAGTTCTATTAAACGGCGGGAAAATCGGCATATTCGGCCTAACTGCCTCGATATGAGTGATAAGGGGCAGTTTGGAACACGCTACGATTTGAGTCGGGGTATTTGAGGCACTGTTAGCCGATTGTGTAGGCAAAGATTTTGTAATGGTGCTGGATTTATCGAGTGTTCGAGTGGCTGAGACAGCAATTGGATTTGCCTTTGACTTAGGCACATGCTTAAGCTTACTATGGGCTGCTGGGGGAGTCGCTAGAGGCGTTTGTATACCAGGGGTGTTGTTTCTTCTAAAGACCTCAGCATTGAGAGTAGTCGAATTCCCTACGGAATTGACTATGCCGTGACGTGCAGAGGCCGCAGATGGTGCTGTAGGGAACTTATCCAAACTGACAGTAGGTGTCATTATCCTGGTGTGGGTTTTTGCCGATTTTAATTTATTCAGTCTTCGCTGCAGTGGTGTGAGTTCTGGCAAAACGGAGCAGCGCCATTTACGGCAGATTTCTCTAGTTATCTCCCTCCTCGACAAGATAAAATCGACTTCTATCATGGAGAAAAGGGTAACTAGTATCGGCGCATTACAGCTAAGCGAGCGCAGGCGTTTAGCTTGTGCGACACTTAAACTCAAGCCACAACTTTGTAGGAACAAATGCGCTCCCTCCATAGCAGATAAGTGGCTCGGAATGTTTCGCAGTACAAAATTATGGTTGCGTTTAATTCTCTCCTCAGTTTCAGAACTTATTACCTCAATAAGTTTAAAAGCTTGTGCAATTACTTTGTCAGAAGTGCTGTTTATGCCGCCATATATCAACTGATCGAGTATTTTGTCAGCTGATGGCCTGCTGCGACTAGCAGAGGCGTATTTTGGACGAGTAAATGGTCAAGAGGTTCTACATGTACCATGTATGCAAAAGGCGAAGGACATATGCTGGCACCTGCTTTGTTCTCGGTCACGATTCTAACACCCAGAGACGGTGGGGAGGCCGCCAGCTTTCCTCGTTTAGCACGTGCCCTGCGGGGCATTACAGACAAAAAAGTTTTCGTTGCAGTAGAAGGATCAAAACGTTGCTAAAGTACAGAAAAGCGCACTGAGTAGCAAGTACTACTGTTATTTAACTACGAAAACTAAAACGAGATAGTCTGGAAAGGAGTCACTACAAAGGTTTTTACTATTTACGACTATTTTGCCAGACTGTCAAACAAAACTGTGAAACATCATACCTTGTATTCAAAGGCGACTTTTAAAGGGACTCAAGTAAAAAACAGACATTAATTGCTTAAGAATATCCAAGTAAATGCAAAGTTTCACTTATCTTTGAAATTGAGCTGCGATCCTTGAATTTGACCTTTCGTGCACCCTCAGTAGCAGATGCGTGATTCAGAATGTTACGAAGTTTAAAAATATGCTTCCGTTTTAACCCCTCAGTTTCGGTGATCATTACCCCAATAACTTTAAGGGCCTATTCAACAGCTTTTTCTGCAGTACCGTTAACATCGCCTTGTATCAACTGATCTACTATTTCGTTAGATGATGTACCGCTAATACAGGCAGCGACGCAGTTTTTAGTCATATCTAGAGAAAGCTGCGAACACACACTGACGCCGGTTTCTTCTCCGGTCAGGGTTCTAGTACTCAGAGATGGTGAAAAGGCCGTTAGCCTTTTTTTAACAAGTCCTCTTGGGGCATTGCATGGTACTATACAGGTTTCCCTTGCAGTACAAGAATAAAAATTTGCAAACTCACAGTAAAACACACAAAACAGCAAACGCCACTGTTAATTTGTTAAAATAACGAGAAGAAGACGGTGTGACACGGCGTCAGTAAGCAAGCGCTTTGCGAAATGCAGCTAATCTACCGGACCATAATAAGGCTAGGAAGAAATTGTACCTGGAAATAAAAAGCGACTTTTAAGAACTCAATCAAAAATACGCATTCATTGTCCAGGAATATCCACTTAAAAACAAAACATCGATTTTCTTCGAAATTAAGCTGTGTGACTCAACATCTGGTGCCCATATTCTACACGCACAACTCGGCATTCACAGATGTAGAGAAGGGCTGCCCGAATGGATGTACAGTACACGCAGAGCATCGTGGTGACGCAGATGTCGCTTCAGATCGCAAAATACCTCTCTATGTCTTGAAAAAAACCGGAAGACAGTATCGACCTGGTAGACAGTGTCACCACGAAATATTTCAGTAGCACCAGTTGGATATTCTTTTACTATGCTAAATCCTAGTGAACTAGTTTACTCCGACGGGAGCAAATATTCAAAGTATCTCAAGCAACTTTAGTCGCTATTCGTCACATCGGGCTTAGTAGAACATATCTGAGAAGACGCATCGAGGTTTAGACCACCCACTTTCCTTTCAGGCGCAAATTTGTATCGTCTTAGTAAGTTATAATTCTAATCTGTTATCTGCGTTTCTCTAAATTTGCATTAAGATGGAAGTCTGTGGGGTATTGCATATGTAATATTACACCCCAATATATATAAATATATATATATGCACTTATTTAAAGATGTGCATATGCACTTCATACAAGTAATCAAATAAAGTTGTAGTTAATAGCTTGAGTTATCAATTACACCTGTGTATAATTACTTGTATACAAGTGCCTGCAGACACTTTTATATGGGTGGCAGGAAGAACACATCTAGGACCTTAATTATAATTAGGGGTCTTAATTAAGACCCAAGACTTCGTTCGCATACACTACCTCTCTGTTGCCACACGCGAAGTTGTAAAATTCGTTCGAATATTTGGATCTATAGCAGTCAAATCACCGGGTTAAATCATACACACGTGTGAAACTTTTTATTGCTGAACAGTAACCATCACATTGGCTTTTACAAGAGGCAGTTGGACGTTCTTTCGGGCGCAACAGCCGGTGAATTGACCCTTTTCCACGTCAAATCAGCTGCACGTTTCAGTTCATCCGCGGACGTTATGTTAATATTAACGGGCCTGTGTTTTCCAGCTGTTTAGGTGGGTAAGAGGAAGTGTTTCGTAGCCGAAGGAGCCATACCTAATGCATAAATACTTGTCATTCTTAGCGCTTATCTTACTCCTAGTCGTGGTTTTCATATGTCGTTCACTGACCGAAAGTTTTAGCATATTTATCTTCAGGTTCGCATAGGCTGAGATTACGAAGTAAGGCGTTGTACAATGGTATTTCTGATCATGCTCAAGTACATTTGACTTTATGGCAGTTCGGTCGTTGCTCTCACCGACGTCTATAGTGTTCTCGTAACAGATGGACAAAAAGATAGTGACATGGGAGTGAGTTGGTTTTTAGCGATAACAGACTTGTGCCGCATCTACAGCATTCCTTCCTCCACTGATCATATGCGCCCGGTGTCAAGAAGACTCAACGAGACCGCAGGATGGATCCGGCAAAATCACTGGCAGGACTAAATGGCCCATATGCGTGTGCCACAATACCGGGTATAAATGCAATGTAACGAGTTATCAAGTTCGACTTCATAAGTAAAGCAAAAGTGGGACGTATGCTCTATCCTAAATTACCAGGATTTATTTGGGCTTCACCGCTGTGGTTACTCATGTACCTTACTCAGGTTGCAAGGATCTGGAAAATCTTAACAAATACTTCTTATGCTTTCCCGTTTGATTTGTTAACAGTAAATTCAGTTTTAACCAAATGGATGCTCGATAATGCTCTGCAGACTTCAATTGGTCTTCCTTAAGTTTTTGCTGTTTTGTATGCATGCTGATCCACCCTTGTATGTTTAAGAAGGCTGCATATATAACTTTTCAACATTAACAGCCAATTTTAATTTGGGCGTTTGCATGATTATTTATATTAACCTCCAACAATTATTGATCCGCAAAGTGCAATCAAGTCTAAAAAGATTAATCTCCCTGACAAACGTGGGCCAGCTTCCCACTTTAGGATGTTCACATTTCCTCCTCTGACAATTTTTGTTGAATTTTTAAGAGAATAATTTACTTTTTTAAACAAGTTAGTTGTCTGGTATTGCTTTTCAAACTGTATTGGCTTCCTCTGTTTTCTTGGACATTGATTTTGCATCGGCACAATCTGAAGGCTGTTTATCATTTCACTCATTGGCGTGCCACCCGCAGTCTTATAGTTTTTGTTTCATTTAATGAAACTATTTTGGTGAAACATTCGAAAAAATATCTATCCGCTAAAGTAAAGCAGATAAGACACCAAAACTCTTTTCATTGCTTATTGTTTTGTTTCGGGCGCTTACCAATTTTATGCTCCGGAGGGAAAACTTGATAACATATGTTGGCAAGACTGTCACCATTATAACAAAAATCACCAAACAAGACAACATCTGACGTTAAAACAGCCTGTAGTCATCAGTTTGAACGATTTTGCTAGATATATTCCACAATTTTGAACAAGCATGTACACATTTGAGTCTGCGTGCACGAATAAGTCATCCTCTCTTACGTTGTTTTTATTCATTGATTCGAATTTACATTAACGACCTTTTAGGAGTTTTGCTTGCCTTTTAACAAGACCAGTAATTAGTTACACCGTAATGAGAACGACGGTCAAAACACCTGCTTAAAATAAAATCAAACTTAAATAAGGGGAACAGCAAAGTGCCAGTATTCAGTCGTCCGAAGGGAGTGCTTTGCAGTTTAAGACTAGGAAATAGAGTGAATAAGGCATCTAACGCCCCAAATGGGTCAAGAAACAATAATTTTTACAAAAAATACGGAACAACGCTTTTGACGGCCTATTTCTATACTTAGTAGTCCCTTGTTCTGTGCTATGCGTGCTTTTTGCTCATATCTTAATTACGAATTTTTCTTTTCCATCAACAGCCAGCGTTACGAAATGTTTACCACAAAAAGGTTAGTTCTAAGTTCTCTTTCGTTTTTATGACGTCCTACAAAATTGTAAGTCGTCTTAGTTTTTGTTAAATAAATGAGGCGCTCACTATTTTGACTTATCATTGGCCTCCTGGGCTGAATTTGTAAAGCAACTTTGGAGATGGCTTAACGTTACTTTTTTTAATTTAAAGCACTATGAACCATTCGGTTTTTGTGGAGCTGTGGGTATAAAAATTAAAAACTACATTGTAAAAACGCCAGGTCTTACCTCTTTCGCCTTAACTTGTTGTTACTTCTTCTTAAAACCAATGTGGGGCCTAATTCACATTGCTTCCTGATCTAACATTTTATTCCTTTGAGTCAAAGCAAGCGAAATCAAGCAAGATTGACATCTGTTTGGCTCATTATCAGTGGTTTATTTTGATAATTATCCTTTCTGATATCCGTTAATTTTTTTACCACAGAGATTTGATCCTGCTGGTTTAATTTGCTTTTCTGCATTCCAAAATAAGAAGCGAGGGAATTGAATTGTATAAGTATTTCCCATGCTGACAACACAGGTACTATCTAAAAGCTCACACACGCGTGTTTCGTCGATCTTATGTCGCTGCCTGACGCAGCTGCAAGGAATGCGGCCCATCAGTCGGTCTCCCGGCCTCTTCTATGTGTTTTCTTCTATATGAACTTCAGTTTCATCTTGCTTTGTTTATTTTCCAAGAAAATCGGTGCGATAACTCGGAGTACATCCCCTAGCACACACCTGTTCAGACACGGTGCGCTGCGTTAGGCAGCAGCTATTACCTTTGCTGTCAGTACGACAAATAATTACACGATTCTATATTGTTGGCTGCCTGTTGGTGGTTTGTGATTAATACGCAGTTATGCCGCAGTGGCCGATGGATTTCAGCCCAAATATCCTTATCAACTCTCGGACACTGCCCAAAAAGGTCTGTTCCAAAAGATTTACTCCAGGTTTGCGCATAAATTTCCTCTGGAATTAAACAGGGCAAGGTAGGGAATTCATATACGCTCAGTGACGTTATTACTCGTCAGCCATGTTTTTCGGAACGTCAGGCAAAAAATCTCTTTCGTGAAAGCTTCCTTACCCAAGTCCTTTTTATTACTCTCAATTTCGGAACTAATGTTTAAAAACTGTAACTTTTAAGCTAAAAAAATTTGTATCTTTGCAGAACTATCGTGTATCGTTCGATTTTTCTCTTCTACACAAAACTTATAGTGCAGATTAAGGCCATGCACTTTCTTCGCGTTATTTTCAGATCTGAAAATAACCCAATTAAATTGACGGATGACGCTGCTTACCTCATCAAGGAACTGGGACAAGCTCTGAAGGAAGCCTTAACCGAGGTTGTTATAAGGAAGCCTCGGGATCCCATTGAGTTTATCGCTCGCTTTCTGCAGCGTGTATTCGAAACAAGGGAATATGAGAGACAAGTCAGTTTACAAACTATTACACCATTTTATCCTTCGTTGTATGCTTCTGATGCTATTTTGATTCTTTCAGTGTTGTATCCAACAGGTGGAGAATATCCCCAAATTTTTATCCGCTCTGGTCATTAGGAGACCAAAAACTGAAATATGCATAACTCAGGACTTCTTCCCTTTTCCTTCAGGCTGAAGAGGATTTTCAGCGGGAAAAGGAGATCGAAAGGGAATTGGCGGAGAAGCGCGCCAACGCACTTCGACTTGGCAACGAGCGCAAGATGATTGAAGCCGAAAATCTGGCTAAGGTTAGAAAAATTCATAAAAGTGAAGATTTACTCGAAGCCATTGCGTCTTTTTCCACAAAACTAGATTTTTTCTTTAACGTAGGACAGACTTACAGTTGTAGTGTACTTTTCGATGTCCAGATTAATTAAGAATTGTTAATCAGTACGATTTACTACCTAAACTTAGGAAGTGCGAATGGGTTCTTTTGAATTGTTTGTCAGTCCTCAACTTTGAAACGAAACAAAAATCTGCTGTTTCATCTTATAGCTAGGATAGATCGCTGAGGGTCAATTTCATGCAAGCAAAATCGTTGATAAAGCTCGCTTCTTCCTTCTGATTAATAATTTTTATTTAGGGGATCTTTCAGTTTGAAACAGAGTACTTATAACGTATCCTTTACGTGTTATTCAAATATGAATAAGAAACCTGAGTAAAAATCATTCACCTTTTAAAGTTTCGTTTGGTCTGTTTAAAAATTACAAATTGCATGCATTCCACGACGTCACTTTTATTATGGTTAACATATTAATATGTTAACCATAATAAAAGTGACGTCGTGGAATGCATGCAATTTGTAATTTTTAAACAGGCCAAACGAAACTTTAAAAGGTGAATGATTTTTACTCAGGTTTCTTAGAGTCGTGAGCTTCCGGATAAGTTAATTAACTTATCCGGAAGCTCACGACTCTAGGTAACATATGCGACAAACATATCGCTACCGAATTTATGCATTAGTGACGTCGCTGTTGTTCAAAAATGTAAGGATTTTAGTGTGAAGATCTGCTAATTTGGAAGGCTGATCCGAAAAAGGGGTTACTTGATAGTGGCCATTAGAACTGTGCCTCCTTGTATAGACGGTTTCATTTCACACTGACGGCAGAATGGCCAAAATCTTTTCAGCGCATGATTATTTTCCTGCCCCTTGCTATTCTGTCCAGTTTTAATTAAATGATAAATGTATCTAATGGTACTGGAGATAATTTGTGGAATCTGTAACTGAATGTAGGTAAAATATGTCTCAATACTGCATTCTGAAAATGGCCCTCCATTATCCCTGGGATTTATAACCTCTTATTTCGTTCAGATGGTTTTTACTGTTTTTTGAGCGCCATAACCTACCTTTGTTAGGTCAACTGATTCTTACTTGTCCAGAGTATTTGTTTCCTGTACTTAATTGTAAACTGTCAAGGCGGTGTGTTTTATAGCTCTGTTATAAAATATTCTTACTGGTATGTTCTGAGTTTTTAATCTCTACTTCATATAAACTCACGAAGAAGATCGACTGAATTGCAATATTAATTAGTACGTAGAAGGTTACCGACAAAAGCGAGAGGAGTAGTGGGCTTTTATACGCTTAATTGGCGGTCGTCAAGCGGTCATGTCCTAGCTCTAGGTTTGCACAGATCCCGGGCTCCAACTTGATTCCATTGACCACTGAACGGCTAGATCGCAGCTGGTAGCCAGGACCCGTGTGACAGGTGGCGGGAGGGTTTATTTACTGGGGCTATTTTGTGGGGCTCCGTAATCACATCTGGCCCATTTGGCTTCCGTTTGACGTTTAAGGTTAGGATTAGGGTGCCGGTAAATGGTTTTCGATTTTTGGGTTAGGGTTATGTCTTTAGGCCTAGGTTTTAGGGTTACGATTAGGGTTTGAACGTACAATTAGGTTTCGGTATTTCGGTTAGATTTTCCAGTTACGGCTATGTCTAAGGGCTACGGCTACGTTTACGATTTCGGTAAAGGTTAGGGTTGCCGTAAGGGTTAGCGGTTGATGTTTAAGGTTGAAGTTAGGGTTAGGGTTAAGGTCGCGTCCGCTTCCCCATTCCTAGCTACCAACTGCGATCTAACCAACTGAACATTAAATCAAAGGCAATAACACTTGTTTCCGGACCTGAGTTCTGTCGAATACAACCGGTGAAGTTCAAATTCTGGGAAAACCGCCTCACTGATTCAACTGCAAGGACGTACGCGTTCCATTGTATCATAAAGCTCAAATTAAGAGCCCTGACAAGCAGTCGCATGGTAAAACTAACAGATAATGAGATAAGCTATGAATAATATTTGTCTCATATCCAGTTCTTACACGATGACCATCAGATCCAGAAGGTTAAGGATTTACAATACCTTAGATCTCTTATAGGGAGAAAAGACCACAGCACGTCCACACAAATACGAACATTATAGTAGATGAGCAACCTCATGAAATGTTGACTGAAATTCTGAAATACATTTTCGGTTAGGAGTGGTTAATTAAGTAGGGTTGTAATATCGCTTACTGTGCAGCATACTCTCAAGATAGCTCAGTCACGCCAGGATGTCGGCCTTTGAACGCACAATCTTTGAACCGGTTGCGTGAACTACGTCCTGTTAGAGGTGACTACTTAAGCAGTATGAACCTATCCCGTTGATTTTCGACGTCCTTATATTTTCAAATATGATTGAGCAGACAAGGTGCATAAAAAATATTCTTTCCTTTACTGTTTCAGTATCGGACTGCGTCTTTTTTAAATTCGGTAGTTAATGAAAAATATATCTCGGTTTTAAAGGACGTCTTGAATACCCCGATAATTTTGAACCCGACTTATCGTTACACTTGCATTCGGGGTTTCCATACTACAAGTTCTATGCTTTTATTATAAGAAAAAGCACTTTTCTATACGCCAATAAGATGTCATGCACAGCTCAAAAAATTTTGTAACGAATGTAGACCGCGTTTTTCATTTTGTGAACAACCTCAGTAAACGTTCTGATGCGATGCTGCATGGTTGGAAAAATTAGACGTTATTTTCTGCCAAACGGGTACAGGAATACATATTTTTGTGTATGTTTTCTATAAAACAGAGTTTGCCTTATAGGGGCATCGGAAGTTGACGGGAAAAAATCATACTACTTAAACAGTCATTTTTCACTGATTGCAGTTTAGGCAGCCGGCTGTAAGGAAGTTCATTCAAGAGTCAAAATCTTGGCGTGACTGAAGTATTTTTGGATTATGCTGCATATTAATTAGTATAACAACTCCAGTTAGGTAATCTTTTCGAACTGAAAGCATGCTTCGGAATCTCAGCCAACATTTCCTGAGATAGCCCACCTACTGCGGTCACTCTCTTCAATAAAGATCAACTGGTAGACTCAAACCAACAGGACTTTTTATACAAATAATGGTGAATTAATCATGGTTGGAGCAGTATTCTTGCAATAAGTGAACTATCGCATTTGATAAAGGAACGATTAGATAATTTTGCGAGTTACACGTATTTTACAAAAAGGGGAAATAATTTGACGGGGTGATGGTGTGGACATCCTGCAACAGAACTCTCAATTCCTCAATTCTTAAGATTCATAGGACACGAGAGGGCGATTGAAGCAGCGTAGACTCGCAGGCCTCCGTTGTTTCTTGTAAACCCTATCAACCATAACTATCCATTTCCTGCTACACCTAACTTAATAGTTCTATAAGTGCAGGCAGATTAAAAAGATAACCCGCAATTTCTGTTGTTCACAAACATCTACTAGCGTACTGTCATTAACAAACAGTAAATGACTTTAAAGATTCCAATGACGCTGTAAGCACCCCTGAAGTCAAATGCGCATTGGCTTATGCGACAGAGTCTTAACACCATTTAGTCTCCTTCCTTACCTTTCCACCTTTTTGCACTTCTGACGTACCCGGTTATAGCAGTCTTTACCAAACTCCCCGGTGGCAAGGTCCTTCTCCATTGTGAACTACTTAGCGTGCTGTCTGACTGCTTATAAATCAGTCAATGCGATTGAATCGCGGTTGGAGTCAGCAGGCTATATCCTGACTTGTAACACCCACCCACTTACCTCTCACCTGCCAGCAGAGACTGAATCGAATCTGTGACATGGAAAAACTTTACCTCCTCGTCGATAACGACGACTTTGTCTGAACGGTAACGAAATATTCAGCCGTGCAACAGTCTTCTCCTCTGAGCCGATAGCTATTGGGAATTTTAGTAGAATTCTGAATTGTTTCTCGGCAAAGCAGTTGCCTCCAAATTCGTCCTCAAATAATTGCACAGATTCTAATGATTCACAATTTACTCATTTTTCAAGGAGGCCAAAGCCAGAGCCGAGAAAGCAGCGGAAGAGGCCGCAAAAATTGAGGCCGAGCGAATAGCGCTCATTCAGAATCTCGATGGCGTCCAGGTACCGGTAAAAGACGTGGATCCAAAGGCGTCAGAAGAACCCGAGCTGGAAGAGTCTGTCCCACAGGAAGAGGATGATGAAAACCCAGAGACGGGTGAGTGATTGCAACTTTAAGGCTCTCATCGGAAAGAGACGTTTGCTCCAAATAGATGCTCAATTCCTCGTCATTTTGCTGTTACAGGTGAAACCCCTCCAGAGACACCGCTTAACGATGAGGCGATCGCGGATGCAATTCTCGACGGCGTCGAGGTGCCGGCAAGAGACGTGGATCCAAAGGCGTCAGAAGAACCCGAGTTGGAGGAGTCTGCCCCACAGGAAGAGGAAGATGGAAACCCAGAGACGGGTGAGTGATTGCAACTTTAAGGCTCTCATCGGAAAGAGACGCCTGCTCCGAATAGATGCCCATTTCCTCGTCATTTTGCTTTTACAGGCGCAATTCTTCCAGAGACACCACTTAACGATGAGGAGATCGCGGATGCAACCCTCCCGGAAAATGACGCTGAAACGGAGGAGAATGCGGAGAGTGCTGTCGATAATGAAGATAATGGAGATAATGAGGATGCTGACCAAATAGAATGAACAGAATTGACTAAGTGGCCTTACTAGCTTTCAGTCATGATCTTGTTTTTGTAGCAAAAATACACTGCGGTCAATTGTTTATGTGCATAACAGGGAGCTTAACGTGGACAAAACCGATTATTGGAATGCGTAGACTTGATTGTGTACGTGAAATTTTCATTATAATTATTGGAATGCTGAAATTATCTTTTGTCCAGATCCTTGCACACTTCTTTTCCTTAGCAGCCCCATCTACTTCTTTTTTCCGCCTGTAAGATTGCAGGTTTTCTCCTCGAATTACCAAGTCGGTTAGAAGTGCCAGAAGATATAGAAGATGTTACCTCACTTCTGCTCCAAGTAGGTAGTCCACCTAAACAATGGGTGTTATTTCCCGGAAGGCACATCCCCTACAGCATCCTCATTTAACCCTACTGAACGATGTTTATTTTTGGCGACCTTACCAAGTCTTCCTCCTTCCGGCAATCGATTCATGTTTCGCGCCACCAAGGCATGCAGGTTATGAAGCAATAAGTGCCGACAACTCTATAAGACGCAGACGGCCGCAGAGGGTGGGGTTCAAAATCTCGGGCGAATAGGAGAAGCAGAAAGAGGTTGATGACAGCTTCTTTTGTCATTCGCACATCACAGCCGCCAGATTTGGTTTGTTCAAATCGAAAGTAACGTGTTCGCCACCCGCCAGTCATCAAGGCGGTTTTCAGCGTCCACTGCTTGGTGAAGAAAATCAGCTCAGATTTTATGGACTTGGTTTACTCCTTTGTACAGACTGTCGGTACTCAAGGTAAGGGTGAATTTCGAAACTCAGATAAATGGTGGAAAAAGAAGGAAGCATAAAAGCGATGGTATAACTAAAGTCTTTTAAACACATTTACCAAGTCCTCACGATAACAGTACAACAAAGCTGATAAAGCATATCAAAGTACTGCCGCGTAAAAGAGAAAGGAGTTTTCATGAACTCCTAGGAGGAAGCAGAAAGTCGATAAGGAAAGGGATTTACTGGCTACGATTTTCGAAGCCATGCCAGTGGTCATTATCGTAGGTGGTATCATTTGTCAGTTACAGACAATTTACATGTTACTGGATGACGTAGCGAAGATGTGCACGCCAAAGACACTAGCCCAGGCTTCTTTGTGGTGAAGGACTAGCCTTTTGGTGTTCGTCATAGGCGTTACTTAAATTTGCAGTGTCCTTTCAAAGTGGCACCTTGTCTTAATATAGGGTACTGGGATAGCGTACTATCATCTAGCATCTCAGATGCGCCGCCGTCTGACAGTTAGACCGCCACTCGACACTAACCCCGTGTTAGCTTACAGACTGGTAAACCACATGGATTGGCTCTCTGGTGCCCGTATTTCTGCTAATCAAGTGCATATCCCAGAGCCGTCTCACCAACCGCTTTCGTGGTCACACTCGATAAATTCGCAACACTCGCGCCCACTTCGACTTTTAGGGAATCCTACTGCTAGATGTATGCATCGGCCTCTTCCACCGCACTGCGCTCTTCTCCCCTGTTTCACAATGTGAATTCAATGTCGAGTGTTATTTGTTTGCAAATAAGGGATAACAATCATTCTATATCATTGTTTCTTGCACTCTCATTCCACCTACAGTGTGTACAGGGTGCTTTGGTTTGTTGAGATGCTCTGCCAGATTTCAGTGGACCTATGGGAGGGATGCTTAGTGACCCATTGTGGTCGCTATTGATGAGAAGGATATATTGACACCCCTCGGTGTTCGCAATAGAACTACTATCCCCCTTTGCAAAGCTGCTATTATGCGGAGTAATGCTTGCGTTTCTGGTTAGATTTTTATCCACGCTTCAACTTCGAAACGGTTCGACTGTCGTCCCCGACAACGTCCACTCCGTACTCCACAACAAGGTGGGAGAAGATGCAGTGACTTGCGCCCGAGTTGGTTTATGGGTATATTAGACATGCACTGCAACCACCACGCTTTACTCCCCCACGCACCAGAGCCCGGTGTTTAGACAGAGTTCGATACCTGTCGAGTCGACGCTTAAAATTTTTAAAGGACAAATTTCGCACAATGGACATTTCAGTCGTCAGAATTTGTGCCCCCATCCGGTGTTCTCAATATCCAAAACTCGCTGAGCCAGATATGCCCATGATAGATTCCTCATGTCATGATGACGTTTGAACAGCGCCTACACAATCAACGGCGACGTCGCTCTTGGTGCATGCCGATGAGGCAGAAACGGCGACGATGCAAGGACACCCAGAAGATTTCACCTACATAATCATAAATTAAACCTGAGACCCTGAAATGGCCCCGCGCAGGTCCAACGCGTTACCTTAGGGTCTGGAGCAATAATGTGGAAAGCCAACCAAACGCGGAAAGTAAATAACCGGAAACCTGAGTTGCGACGGAACAGTGTTGCGAACGTTCAACCCTTGCCATCACACACATTTTCAAATGATATTCAACGCGCGTACCGAGGTTACCGAATATATTTAGGCCCATCATAAGGACAACCAATCGGGCTCCCACGACACGTGACGTTATCATCAGCAGTGACGTCGTGGGAGTCTTTCCCTCCGCTTATCGCAGTTGCAACGCTGCGTCTTAGTTCTATGGCTAGGACACTATCGCTTTAATCGCAACAGGAGCACTGCCCTGACCTGCGACCACACAGTCACAGCCACAACTTCTAGTATAAAAATTTGCATCACTACAACCTGCAATGCAAACAAAGTTCTAACCTCTCAGCATTGCGACTTGACACTTCAGTTATTTGGGACCCCATTGTGCGGTGAGCGGAGAACCAGTGCCCTTCAACACTGCACCTCTTGAGCGTACTCGCGGCAGTATGATTCTCAACCAATCACAGCTGTCCGAACCGGCCAATCAACTTCCAGGCTGACTCAGTTATGTCCACGATCAAGATGCTCTGACGCCTGCCTCGGTGACTCTCGAGTGTCTGTTCTTGAGACGCCGAACACGCGCCCTCGTCCGGCTTCAAACTTGCTACAACCCATTCTCTATCCATTCTGCACAGAGAAACGTGCTTTTTTTACTGGCATGCAAATTCTCCTACCTCTCTCTCTATTTGGGACCAGGCCTGACAGTAGGAGTAGCTAAGGTCTACAGCCGCTAAATAGGTGGCTCCAGGAGCTGTGACTTGCCGATGCATGCGTTCCTAGAAAAGTATTCTTGCGGAGTAACTATCCTACTTTTTCTTTCCACACCCATCATCCGCCATTAGCAAGATGAAATAAAAAAAACTAGAGGTACGCAGACGGATTGGTTGACGGGGCTAAGAGGCCCGTCCACGCGTACTGTGCACAGCCTGATCATCAACATGTATCTCTTCGCACTGAGCTCCTCACTTTTGGGACAAATAAGAAACTTACATGTTGTACAGGCCCTTGCCCGAACTATCTCAAGAAGCAAGTATACATACCCCTTGTTGGCTCGAGCCCCACACCTACAAGGAGCGGACTATGCATGTATGCGAACTTTGTTGGCTTTCGTTTTGTCTTTTTATAATTATAGAAAATTTCTGATTGACACACCTTTTGTGTACCCTGACGACCTGAAAATGGCCTATCAGTTCAGGATGATAGACGATGACATCATGTTTGCCCTATGAGCATGTGACTAACAGCGAAGACAATCAACACAATAAACTTAATTCAACCCTATGGCCTTATTTGCCAAAACAATGTGTTTTTGCACGTCTAGGCAGACTTCTGACAGCACTCCGTTTTTGAGTGATTGGAGCAACGTTCTCATAATGTAGTATGTCTTCCGCATAAACATCTTTTCGGTAAATCGATTTGCACGGTGTTCCGTTGGTCTTTCGCTGTACCAAAACATCCAGGAACAGGAGTTTACCGTCAACTTCCTTTTCGAGTGTGAATTTAATCCCGGGAATAATTGAGTTTATAGTGCTGTGGGGCGCTTCCAGTTAGCCATTTTTAGCGCCAACAAACGTGTCATCTCCATATTGCAGCCAAAATTGATAGTTAACTTGCGAAGAGTTGTAGGCTCTAATTTCTGCACTGTGATTTCGGCGATGGCATTTTTGGTCGAATGGGAAGCTGGTTTCCATGCATAGGTCTATGAGTTCATGCACGGCAATTGCGGGAGCATCTAACAGTTCGACCATCGGTTTCGATGATGTCCACCGTGTGCCCCACAGTTGCAGCAGCAATGGGAGCAGGGATGGTGACTTACGCAGGGGTTTATAGTGCCGGTAGACTTGCGTAGCATCTACCTACACTCTCTCCTCCTCCCTCGCCCGAGCCCGATGTCAAGACAGAGTCAAGAAGATCGGAGACGAGGGAGGCCGCAGGTGGATGGCTCGGACGGATTTTCACCTTGGCGTTCCATCACACCCCCTGGTCCACACAACAAATAACCAGGATTTTAACCAGCACAACAAAGATTGGAGGCTGGCACGACCGAAGCCGCACCTAGCCATGCCGCCAACGCCTGGCTCGGATCACACACTGTGGTGAGAGTGCCATAAAGGCCACATTAAAAAGGAGCCATTGCAGCCTGACTCTCAGACCGCCTCCAGTGAAGAAAGAGGTCCAAGTTACCCCGTCAGTTGGCAACCTTTCAAACCACAGCTTTTAGCGCACCGTGATAGCTTCAAGCGCGTCAGATTGTTTATAGTGAGGAAAGTGCGCTGAGTCGTTGACCTCACTCTCCCTTCCCACTGCCACACCCCAGCCACTGTCCGAGCCGGTCAGCAGACTGGAGTGGGAAATGGGCGCGGTGGCTGTCATGGTCGACTGACCATGACTGCGCGCACCACGGCACGACCTGGCCTCCCATAAACACAACACCAGGATTTCACACAACGGGGGTTGAACGGCGTGTCTCTCACTTGTGTGAGAGTGCCGTGGAAGGTGCTGTTTCAGCCCGTCCCCAGCCCACCAGTCCGCCACTCCACACAACACACACACACAACGCGACGAACTGCGTGAACCGAGAGCGGGCGTCAATCAGCAACCTTTCTATCCACGACGCTTGAC